GACATCTATCACCAAAATCGACCACTTCATCGAGTGCCTAGCTGATATTTGTTGGAACCGTAAAGATCTCAGTTTGCATTCACTATCCCAGTTACTTAGCCTAGAGCATGCTGATCAGTAGCCAAAAAGCATGAAACAGCTGTCCATTGTTGACTATCTTCTGATCGGACGGACGAAACTATCATACTTAGTTTTTTCAATGACAAGTAGACCACATCTACTATGCAGTCATCGAGCGGCTACACGATGGCTGGGCTATTGAACGTGAACTGAGATCTATATATATATATATATATAGATCTATATATACTAAGTGACATTAGAAAAGTTACACCCAGAAAAAATAATAATAAATTCTTTCAACTTGTTTTTTGGCAACATAATGGCTATATTTTAAGCATGCTGTGGCAACAATGTCAACGTTTTATCTTTGTTTTTGTTTACCTTTGTTAAAAAGTTATCTCTTAGTTTTTGTGAAGAAAGCAGTTTCTGAGAGCTTAGTAGTACAGATTTTTTAGTTGTTGCCCTTTCATTTAAGCTAATCACAACAAAATGCCTCGAGCTCGAAGACGTCCAAATTATCACCATGTTAGCGACTTTGACAGGTCGTCTAATCATATTAAACAAAAATACCCCTGGTTTGCGAAATAATTGTAAAGTCCGGTTTTATTGATGCAAGCTGTTCAAGCGAGTATTTTAAACATGGACGCGTAAAATGGGTATACATAACAAAGAATGAGGATGGGATTCAATCGAATGTGTTGGCAGGAACGAAAAAACTCTACTAACAAAATGTTTAGATATTTATGGGGCTACAAAATGAGATCCCACGTAAAAAGATCCGTCTAATAGTAAAACAGTTATGGCCGAAAAATTACTTTGACGAAATTTCAGAAACACTATGTCGGGATCATAGCAGATAATTTTTGAAAACATGTATCTTGGATGTGTAAATTACTAACCAACAATATTGGAATACATCCGAAATTTTGTTTGTAATAATACGAGTACACCCAAGTTTTCGATACGCCGTCAAATTAGGTACCTCTTGGAGCCACAGAGGATGCTTATAAAATCAAGTGAGCTAACCCACAGTTTTTATATTTATCAAGTAACTGTTAAGCATAGATGCTCATTTCATCAAGAGCGTAGACATTTTTTGCATAGTTTGTATTTATTAATTTCGGATGCCTTTCATTATTGTTGGTTAATAATTTACACATCTAAGATATATGTTCCGACATAGTCCCTGTTGGGACCATTACTCTATTTAGTTTATACTTTTGATCTACATACTTGCCTTCAGCACCGTAATATTCAAACGTATGCAGATGATACGCAGCTAACTCTGTCTTTTGATTCTTCGGACATGCATGAAGCATCATATAAATTGAACTTAGATCTAGTTAACATTGAAGAGTACTGCAAAAGACATTGTCTGAAGATCAATGCTTCAAAATGTTCTACTATGCTATTTGGCCCAAAACAGTTAGTACAACGGTTAGATGGCACAATTGTTCCTAGTCTTAACGAAACCCATATTCCTATAGTAGACCATGCGAAGAATTTAGGGATCACCATGGATGCAGATTTGAGGTTTAAACAACATGCTACGCATTTATTTCGCTTAACATACATGCGTTTGAAGTTATTATACACCAATCGCCATATTCTGAATTTCAAGACTCGCAAAAAACTGGCTGAGACTCTGGTTCTATCGTTAATAAATTATTCAATTGCTGTTTACTTTCCTTGTCTTGATTACGTGACTAGATATCGAGTACAAAAAATTCAAAATAGCTGCTATAGGTTCGTTTGTGGTCTGCGAAAGTTTAGCCATGTGTCTAAGAAGATCAATGAGCTTAGAAGGTTGAGGGTTGACCACGTTTTCACATATAACTTACTAATTTTAGTACAACGAATAAAAATCAATTGTCTACCTACCTATCTACTAAAAAGGCTGGTACCACGTGGGGATCTCAAATACAGGAATCTGAGACATAACTCTGACTTCCATATACCTAGTTATAGGAGCAACATTTTCCATCGTAGCTTCACCTACAACGCTGTCAAGGTGTATAATAGTCTTAATGACAATTACAAAAAGATGGGAATACTTGCATTCAAGAGAGCCATTAAGAACCACCTTCTGGGGTCTGCTAGCCAAGCTGGCTGATATATTTTTTTTTTGTCTTTATTGTTTTGTTTGTTAGAGCGGGCTATGTGGAATAGATGTACAACATATTAAGATTAATCCATTTAAGCTTAATTATTGTATATATTATTTAGTCGACTGCTATTCACTGTTATATTTTTCCTTTTGTATGTGTTCCTGCCCTGTGAGGTTAAGTGGTAGAGTAGCCAGCTGGCTAAACTTCGCCTCGTAGTGTGGAGAGATTAATAAAGACATTATTATTATTATAGTATTTCTGAAATTTCATCAAGTTCACCGCTCCCACCCGTTGCACTACGCCGCCTCTTGGAGTACTGGATCTTTATATCGCTCACTTGACACTAACAAATGTCAAGCGATAGTTGAAGGCATAGCAATTCTGTTATAGACATTTTGAATGCTCTTGAAAACCATACAAGGTACAATGCTGAAGCTTGAAATAATGCATTAGGAACTAATACCGAACATTTTGCCTGATTTTGATGACGGTCAGTTCTCTACAATTGGATGTTATTTGTCTACTGTTTTTTCGTTTTCTCGAGTTTATTTTCCAATATTTTGATCTCACAGAAAACAGCCGTATACTATATTAAGACTTTTAGAAAAAAGGTCCAGGGAATTGTATTCCTTCATAAAGAAACTGGATTACGAGACCTACTTTATAAACATTTCAGCGCATTTCAGTATGAAATATTTTATTATAAACTTTAGGGCTCGTCTGTGACTGCGTAAAAATTTCAGCTCGAAGTGTCTATACACAAGAGAATGAAGAAGTCTTGTAAAAATTGTTTTATTCGCAACAAAAAGTGATGGACACATCTGCTTTGTTTTAAAATGTGTACAATAACGTATGTTTTACGAATATCGTAGCAAATCTGTTCAATTACTCACAAATACAAAATGTTTGAACTTGTTCAGAAGAAAAAACGTAACCCTTCGTTTTTTGCGTAAAAACTACAATTATCTTTCGAAATGGTCTGTGATTTATGTTGGTGAGGTAAACTCGTGTAGTTTGCTATAAAATGCCATTTGAACGAACCCTGTATATTTCTCAGTAAACTAGTAGTGATGGCCTGAAGACAGGTATTTTGGGATAAACAATTAGAAACTCTCAAAGACTACTTGACCAATCGATTGCAATTTTGTTGTGATTAGTTATAAGTATGAAGCCTACGGATTTGAAGAATTTCAGGCAGCTGCGTGAAATTATCGTCGCGTTGGCAGCAAGTGCCAAAACCTGCATTTTGCCTCGGTTTCGGACGTAACTTTTTTACTATTAGTCAGATCTTTTTACGTGTAGTCTCATTCCGTAGGTCTCATAAATAGCTAAAAAACTTATTTAAAGAGTTTTTTGGTTTTTGCCAACACTTTCGATTGAATCCCAAAAAACACGTTTTCTCATTCTTTGTTGCCGAACAAAAAGTTTTCCCACAAAAATCGGTGTACTCATGTTTTAAATACTTCCTTGAACAACTTGCAACAATAAAACCAGACTTTTCAATTATCTCGGGGAAATTTGGTAATATGATTAGTCTAAGCGGTAGAATTACTGCAATCGAAATGTTGGTTTGTCCTATCGTGAAATTGGACGCCGTGTTAATTGTACTGCGATGACCGTAATGCGTGTGCCGTGTGTAGATACAAGAAGGTTACATGGTAGACGCTTCAGACAACTAGCCCTACCAGGCCGTTTTGCTACTACGCGTCCGTTTGCTGACCAATGGTATGAAGGAGAAGGTATTCCTGTTACTATGCGTACACACTAGCGTCGCATTCGAGTCTTCAAACTTTTTTCATACCGTCCACGGTTAGTGCTTCCTCCGACTGTGGACCATTGTCGTCAACGTTTGAACTGGAGCAGAAAACGGCAACATTGGGAGGGAGAATGGCATAATGTCATCTTCAGCGACGAATCGCGATTCTATCTATGAAAGCACGATCGTCGCAGAAGGGAAAGACACGGCCATGGAGAACGGCGTAATATTGGATTTGCTGTTGAGAGGTATGTACACAGGACTGTTCAAGTAATGGTTTGGGAGCTATTTCCTATGGTAGCTGAACATCCCTTCCCTTTGTTCAATGCAATATGACTGCTGCGCATTATGTTCATGCTGTTCTACAAACCACTTTACTGCGGTCCACACGTCCTTTTTCACCGAGACAACGCACGTCCCCATATTGCTCGTCATGCTACGGGAAGCAGGCGTTAATGTTTTGCCGGACTTAAATGCCATCGAACATGTGTGAGATACGATGGGGAGGAGACTATCCACTTTGCACCATCCGCCACAGACTCTACCATAGCTAATACACGAAGTGGAAGAATTGCTTGGAATGTCATCCATCATCTCATTTTGTCGAAGCCTAGAAATATACAGTAGTGTATTGAGCTGCGGGGTCGCCCATCATACTTTTATTTTTTTTTTTTATTATTTGTCAATAAATTTTTTTGAGAATGTTATCGTTTGATTCTTGATGAAATACTACCTCATTGCCAAGAAATCAAGTTGAAGAAATTATTTTTTCTGGGTGTACTACTTCTGATGTCACTGAATTTATTTCAAATAGCTGCTATGCATTTGCTGCAAAGGTCGGTTTTGTAGTTGTAGGCATTTTACAGCGGCTCTCTGTTATGGGCTTTATTTCTATTAAAATATTTCTTATACATGACGCAAGAGTAGTTCTACATGTAAATTTAATATTTGGCTACCATAGCGTACTGAGACCTATTTTACCTCTGCCAAATAAACATATGGAAAGGGGTGAGGGGCGGATCATAAACATCAACCCTCGTACCACGTATAACACAATCTTCATTTTGTTGCAGGTATTCAGCACAGGGCTTCCTCCAGCAACTTCAGCTGTGCGGAACCCTTTGATTGGATGTCAGTTCCGGGGCTCCCAACTGAGCGTAAATGGCGAGTTGCAGCAGCAAGTTGCCGCGTTGACCCGATGCCGGCAGCCTTCCGTAGGCATCGACACTGACATGGTGAGCGAGTTCGACCCCAGTAGCAGCGACTCAGGGGTGGTGGCTCAGTGCACCGCCGTGCAACCGCTTAAGCTTAGGTTGAAGCCGATCTTCGGACGGGGGAAGCAACCTAAGTAAGTATCCGTAAGCGAATAACGACTCTCACCCTAGGGTTTTCTGAAACGGTTAGAGATACGAAGTTGGCTGTCAGTGCAAAATTGTGCTTAAGGTGGCTAAGGGACAGACATTTCAATATCCGTTCATTTTTCCCTGACTATTTCCTGTATAAAGTCGCATAATTATAGTTTCAATATAACGTTTCACTTCTTGTACATAGATCAATTCAGAGTATGTGGATGATATAACTGAGGGTGAATACAGTGCTCCGAGAGTTTGCTAACTGGTGTAATCTGAACAATCTAATGATTAATTACGATAAAACTGTAGCTATGAATATAAGATAGGTCAGGAAGCAATCCTGTAATGTTAACTTGCCCCTTAATGGTCACAACTTCGAGCTCTCTCTGTCTACAAATTTTTTGGGCTTAGTGGTGGATTGCCACATAGACTGGGAAACTGATATCCACAGAGCTTGCAAAAAGTTGAATACAGGTGATTTGGTCATAAATATTCTAAAAAATTGTGTAAGTCGTGAAACCTTAATTAGTGTCTACTATGCGTTTATCTACTCGGTCCTGTACATACGAGTATAATATCGTTGCCCTGGGACAGGCCTCAACTATTGACAGAGTCTTCATCACACAAAACGAGTCATCAATAACACGTTCAATTTATCGTTCAGGGCGTCCTGTAGGGACTATTTCAAGAAATATGAACTTTTGACAGTCCCCTCAATTTGTCTGCTAAAACTACTATCCTATACTCATAAATACACATGCATTTTCCAAAAAAAATCACATTTTCATGATTATAACACTAGAAATAAAAACTAGTTTTGCTCAGATAAGCATAACTTACTACTTACCACAATTTATTAAGCAAATTTGAATTTGAGTTTGAGTTCGAGTTTGAGCTTGAGTCCTTGTCCGAGGCGGAGTCCGGGTTCGGGTTCGGGTTCGGGTTCGCGTTCGGGTTCGGGTTCGGGAATCTGAGTTTGAGTTTGAGTTTGAATCCGACTCCGAATACGAATCCGAATCCCAATCCGGATTGAATCCGAATCCGAATCGGAATCGGAATAGGAATCAGAATCGGTAATCGGAATCGGAATCTGAATCTGAATCTGAGTGTGAGTATGAGTGTGAGCGTGAGTGTCAGCGTGAGCGTGAGTGTGATTGTGAATATGAATGCGAATCCAAAGCGAATGCGAATGCAATTTTGAATTTTGAGGTAAAAGCAGGTCAAGATCCGTGGGAATAGAACAGACCGTAGAAGTCTAGAATTCACGCCCGTACCCTGGGAGGCGTGAAAGTGGAGTTCCGGATTCCAGTTATAGCAGCATACTATTCTTATGTATGTTCCGACGCTAAATCCAAATGTAGGTTCGATAAGATCCATACATGCGTAGCAATCTCCCCCGGGCCCAAAAGTTACCGCTAGAAGGGGTGGCAATCGACTTTCGGATGCCAGATGCTAGAGAGGGTATTCCCATGTATTTTTCGACGCTTCAAGAAATATTTAGCCCCCTGGAATTCATCCTCAGAAGAAAAAACTACCCCTAAAAAGGGGCGTAAAATTGATTCTCGGATACCAGATGCTGTGGTGTGAACTCGGTCCATACATTCGCTGATATAGCTACCGAAAATAGATTATAACTTGTGAAAATTTTCGATTTCTAGGCAATCATCCACTAACATCCTGACATATCCAAATCTAAGAGTCATGTGCTTAACATATTTTTCTGAGACCGAGTTGAAAGAAAGTACAGTGGCGGTGTAGGACATGCCATCAGAATCTCGACTCGATCGTTGGTCACGGACTTGTGTTGTCTCCTCATGGAACGGCACCTTATATCTTGCCATTTTAGTTAAAAATTGCATCTACAGTAACGATCAAATGTAATTAAAAATAAAGCAACTAAAGATAAAGACGGAGGCATGATAAGTTCTACCAAGCTACGGCACACTTTTAGTAGCCTACACAAAAAACAGCATCGAAAAAGCCCTGCTGTCGCTATTACGTTCATTATAGAAAAGCGCGTAAATTGAACTTGAACTTGAAAAATTGCTGTTTTTATTCCCGCATCAATGATTTATTTCGTACGAATCGCGCATTTTTATTGTTGCTATTCCTCTTTATTTGTGACTAACACTGGGTACATTTACTTATATCTTAGATTATTTGGGAGCAAACTAATCGTTCTCTTCTCTTGTTTCAGAAGGAATCGCAATGACGAGGCCAAAAAGCTAGCAAAGTCACCTAGTGAGAGAGCTATATCAACTGCTTCCGAAGGCGGTGGTGTATCTACTCCTACTACTGTGGTGCCACGCGTGCAAAAACCAAAGGTAATTGGTCTCATCTGCATGTTATTGCTAATATTTTTCGGAATTGTCTCACTCTCGCTGCTCATACTCAATGTGGGTATTGAAACTTGTACCTACACATTCACTGGTTGTTTCAGTTCGATTTGGGCTTGAGTATTTATAAAGGTTTGGATAGAGCGATATGTTTTTGGGTACGCTCCGAATCTCTGCACAACGACTATGAAAGTTAATAACCTCTTTTTTTTTAAATTGCTACTTTATATTACATACACAATAGACAGTTTTTTAATGCTCATCCTCACTTTTAAAATCTGCTTTGGAAACCATCAGAAGCAACAGAAATGTGTTTGTCAACCCGAAAAATACTTTTGACGTATATGCTCCTTAAATAAAGTGTTGATGATTACGTCTTCTATCCGACTTGCGTTTCGTGGATGCGAACAAAAAGAAGCGTCTCTTTCAAATGTGTACCAAAAGACCAACGGTCCTGTTGCATCGTGCTCCATCAGTGTGTACAGCACAGAAAAATCGCTCCAAAGTAACGTTATCATGGAACGATATTTTCTTGGAGCAGTAACGGTTGTAACGCTACAGACGTTATTACTGCCCACTAACCAGCAAATAGAGCCACATTTTAATATTTCCATTGTCGACATTAATATAGCTATTTTGTTATAGAGCATTATGTGTTTTGTTTTCAGGACCCAGAAAGGGAGCGGAGACGTATAGCTCGGAAAAAGGAGAAACGTGCAACACTCATCTTGGGTCTTATCATGGGATCATTCATCGCTTGTTGGCTGCCTTTCTTCTGTATGTACGTGCTCAGGCTGGCCTACGACATACCCCCTATTGCCTTCTCAACAGCTTTCTGGCTAGGGTGAGCTTTTTATATGCATATTACTCAGGTGTTCTAGCTCGAGCAATGTCGTAAACAAACATGATAATCAAATGCCACAAAACTGTTCAAGCACTCTTGTGTAAAAGTTGCCTTCATTAACATTTCTTCAACATAAAAAACTAAGACGAACATATTTGAATTCCTTTCTTCGATTTGGCAGTTTTCTGTTTTTGACTAAAATAATTGTATTCAATTTCATTTTTATTATTTTACCATTCTGCAGCAGCCCGGAATATATATATATATATAAATATAGGTGAAAAATTAAAGCTTCCGCTTTTTGTTGGGTACTTCGACAAGATTTAAGCAAAGAGGACTCTTTATACTTTTTTTAATTCTCTCTAGCTTTCAATGGACTTTGCCATCATCATCAGGAGCTGCAATTACAATGATAACAGTAGCAACAAAGGTGTAAAATGAATTTAAATTGACTCAACTTACAGTAGTATGTGAGAATGTTGCTAATTGTTGTTTATGTATAGGATGAGGGAAACGTCCAGTAACATGGTGAGAGCTGAATAGGTTGTACAATAGTCAAAATTTATACAAAACATGACAAGAACACGTTAAAAACAGATTAAAAATTATTTTAAAAAATTAGAACATTACATCGTCAAACCACCTGATGATTGCACAAATTAGTGGTCATGGAATGATGAATTGATGAGTGACATGAAACCCTTTGACAGAAGGCCGAAGGATGTCAATGTCAGTATTGAAAGATGGAACGAATTGTGGGCGTGTGCCAAAAACGTTGCCAAATCACTTCAGATGAAGAGATTTTCAGAATTTTATGATGGAATTTGTTAAACCGACCAGAGGCAGTTGAATAAACTATATTATTATTAATGGGAATTTAAATTAACAATTATTATCGTGAGGAGAGAATTATTATATTTTGAGTGGAATGAAATTTACTGGTGGAAACGGCCAAAACACAGATTCTAATTATGGTTGTGAAGAGTTGAAATTTGATACAGTTGTTATTCATGAAAATGTGGGACATTTCCAGGAATAAACGTTTGGAAAGGTGTTTTTCTTTATCAAGAACTTTGATACTTGTGTAATTCATAGAATGCCCTGTTGTGTTAACATGAGATGCTAGAGCGCATCTTTCAGGATGAAGCCTAGCATCACTTTTGTGTGATGTAATCCTTCCTTTAAGAGATCTGGAGGTCTGACCTATGTATATTTGGTTGCAGTTGTTGCAATTGATGGAGTAAACTGTGTTGGTTAACCAGTAAATTTCATTCCACTCAAAATATAATAATTCTCTCCTCACGATTTATTAATAATTGTTAATTTAAATTCCCATTAATAATAATATAGTTTATTCAACTGCCTCTGGTCGGTTTAACAAATTCCATCATAAAATTCTGAAAATCTCTTCATCTGAAGTGATTTGGCAACGTTTTTGGCACACGCCCACAATTCGTTCCATCTTTCAATACTGACATTGACATCCTTCGGCCTTCTGTCAAAGGGTTTCATGTCACTCATCAATTCATCATTCCATGACCACTAATTTGTGCAATCATCAGGTGGTTTCACGATGTAATGTTCTAATTTTTTAAAATAATTTTTAATCTGTTTTTAACGTGTTCTTGTCATGTTTTGTATAAATTTTGACTATTGTACAACCTATTCAGCTCTCACCATGTTACTGGACGTTTCCCTCATCCTATACATAAACAACAATTAGCAACATTCTCACATACTACTGTAAGTTGAGTCAATTTAAATTCATTTTACACCTTTGTTGCTACTGTTATCATTGTAATTGCAGCTCCTGATGATGATGGCAAAGTCCATTGAAAGCTAGAGAGAATTAAAAAAAGTATAAAGAGTCCTCTTTGCTTAAATCTTGTCGAAGTACCCAACAAAAAGCGGAAGCTTTAATTTTTCACCTAACTGGTCTAGACGACAATGACCACGTCTCAAGATATATAAATATATATATAAAGAGAAAATAATTATGCGGAGAAAGGTATAAAGCAACAAATGGGACAATAATAGGCAAAATCCACAAAAAGAAAGAAAGTGGATTCGAGCAGAAAATAAAATAGGTAACCTGAGCGATACCTACTTCTGCTAATTGGCTTCATCAGGCTCGAAATGGATGCACGTATGTAACTACAAAAGTAGATACAAATGCCCATACATCCAGATACTGGTCTAACCTGAGGAAATCAAGATGTCGCCTTGAAAATTCGAGGTCTTCTAGCCATTTTATTCTGCAATGTGTAGGTTGGCTCTTGTTGTGAAGTTCGTGTGTTGAAAATGATCATTTTTTTTTTAGATCTTTTGGGCTTGAAGTACTTCAGCAAGTGGCTATAACCGGCCGCGTCGTTGTGGTTAGATGTCTCCTTGAAAATTCGAGGTCTTCTAACCATTTTATACTATAATTAATGTGTAGGCTGGCTCTTGTTGTGGACTTCGTGTGTTGTTTTTACCTCTCCATCTTCGTTTCCTCAGCTTACATCCGCATCCAGATGTGTGGGCATGTATATCTACTTTTGTAGTTGCATATGTGCATTCATTTCGGGCCTGATAAAGTCAACCACCAGAAATACGTATCTCTCGGGTTACCTATCCTATTTTCTGCTCGAATCCACTTTACTCCTTTCTGCGGACTTTGCCCATTATTTTCCTACTTTTTGTTCATACCTTTCTCCGCACGACCATTTTCTTTATATATATATATATGCAGGGTGGCGCATCGAAAACGAGATAGACGCATTTACTGGCAGCTCAGTTTTTTTTTGGAAGACCCGTCGAGTTTGTTTTCGAGGGGGACACAAGTTTGGCCAAAAATCACGTTAACACGTGTAGGCCCCTGAGCGGAGGTGACACCAACCCTAAAATCTTATATGGAAAGGGGGGTCGAGTGATACCTTATTTTAAAGGTATTCCAATTCCCTTTATAATGATGTAAACTACATGAGCTTCACTTGAGTAGTTTTGAAGATTTATTGATTTAAAGCTCACAGTAGACTTTAATAGCTCCATCAGATTAGTTTGTACTACTTTCAGAAGAAATTTGACTAAAAGAATTTACTCAATAAGTAAATGCTTTTCTTCACTACGCCCATGGTTTGTTCATCATTTTGTTGTTGAAAATAGCTATAGGAGCGTTTTTTTGTGGCAAAAAAGTTATTTCTTAAAGAAAGATAAGGAAATATCTCGTACTTATTTTAAATAGGAATTTAGTACATAGTTTGCGATTGATTCGACCAACTTTGCTGCTAAAATAACTTATAATGCTTGATTACATAAATTAACCATGGTTTATTCCACAGCAGGAGTTTAAATTATCGAAATATTTTTCGGAAATAATCATAGTGAGAACAGTAACGTGCATCGAAAATATGTTCTAGAACTTGTAGCTAAATTTTGGGAAACTGGGTTAGTCGCCACTAAAAAACATTGAAAATCCCATCAGGAACGAAGCAATAGAGGTGGGGGTTTTAGGGCAAGTTTATGTAGATTCTAGGTTAAGTACCCGAAAATTGGAGACTGTGTGTGGTGTTAGTCGACGTACTGTCCAACGGATTCTACAGGCCCATAGTTTTTATCCGTATAAAATTCACCTGGTACAAGAACTTAATGAAGACAATTTTGATCGGCGATTACAATTTTGTGAAGATATGAGTGAACGAATTATAAACGATGAACATTTTCTATTCAACATTTGGTTCTCCGACGAATGTTCCTTTTTCTTAAATGGCGTAGTAAATCGTCATAACTGCCGATATTGGTCCGATTCTAATCCCAGAATTTATCATAAGGTTAATACATAGCAGCCACAAAAATTAAATGGTTGGGCTGGTATTTTTGGCGATCATTTAGTTGGTCCTTTTTTCTTACCTGGAAATTTGACCGGTGAAATGTATTTGGAATTACTGGAAGACGCCATAGATCCTGCATTAACAGCCATAATTGCAAATCAGAATGATCGGCGGTACATTGCGAATAGGTTGATGTTCCAACAGTATGGTGCCCCACCACACTATGCATACGTGTTCGACAATATTTAGATCAGACGTTTCCAGATCGATGGATTGGTAAAAGAGGTGCCATTGAATGACCCCCAAGATCGCCAGATTAATCACCTTTGGGTTTTTTATGTGGGGTCATTTAAAAAGCAAAATCTATGCTACTCAGCCAACATCATTAGAAGACCTGCGACAAAGAATTGTGAATGAGTGCCTTCAAATTACTCCTCAAATATTGCAAAATGTGCGGCAACGTTTTGAGCAAAATCTGTATCATTGCATGGAGAGTCACGGTGACCATTTTCAACATTTACTTGCCTAAGGGTCAGTGTATTCTTCATTTTTAAATTACTTTGCTGCCAAGTGTATTGATCTCCACTAATGATCATGTATGAGTTTTATTTAAGCTTTAAATCAATAAATCTTCAAAACTACTGAACTGAAGTACATTAATTTTATATCATTATAAAGGGAATTGAAAGGCCTTTAAAATAAGGTATCACTCGACCCCCCTTTCCGTTTAAGATTTTGGGGGTGGTGTCACTCCCGCTTAGGGGGCTGTACGTACTAACGTGATTTTTTGCCAAACTTGTGTCCTCCTCGAAAACAAAAGCAACGGGTCTGAGCGTTTTTCCATAAAAAAAAACTGAGCTGCCAGTAAATGCGTCTGTTTCGTTTTCGATGCGTCACCCTGTATATATACTCACAGTTGGGAACGTGCAACTGGATTTTGCTGAAAACTGTTGAAATTGGCAGCTTTATCGTTTCAGAAGAACAAAGAGTCCAAGGCATTTCTCGGCACTCACTGCCTTTTCACATAACGAAGGAAAGCGTCAGCAAAATTAAATCAGATTTTAATTACAGGTGGAATGGAATCGAATACGGGCGATTGTGGATAAGATTGTAACAGAACAAAATCAGAGTACCTTCATACTCTCCTATTTTCAACAATAAGATTGAAACAAATTAAGTAAATGTAGAATCTTTACTGTATAGTATACATATCAAGGGCTTAGGCAACAATTACACAATATAAAGACGAACTAGTGAAAAACGTCCGCGTTGGACAGTAAACAATAGTACAACCCTAACAAAACAAATATTGTTAAACATACAACCTGGAGTTAGCATCAAACTCTACTTCTTTAGATTAAGCAGTACGGGTGTCGTATTCAATACCTAGAAACCATTTTTTGTTTCACGTTTAGTATTTAAAAACATTGTTTTCCATAAGACAATAGCCGATTTCATGAGATTTCTTTCTGATTAGAATATCCGAATAGCAGAATTTCGTATCTTGAAATATCGGCTTTGTTCGACATTATATAGGTTCTTTGTGACATTATGTAGGCTATTCTACAAGATGCCGATTCGAAATGGCTGTTGTCCACTTCACATGTACTCGTTCTGTAGCTGTACGTGTTGCCTACTCTTCAAGACGCGTCAGCTACCAGTGTTTGGCTCTGACGTGACGTATGACGTGATGATTTGTGTGCTCGTATTTTGGGTTAATGATAATTCCCTTAGTTTCTTGTTTCAAATACACGTACTTGAAATACATGTATATGCTTCATCCTAGAAATCACTTATGCAAATTTGCTGAATTTGAGAAATATATTATAACTAACTGGTGAGGAAATAGGAATATTTATGGAAAAGATTTTTACATTTCACATCATTTTTTGTTTCCAGTCATTTTAATTCTATAAAAAGCTATTTTGTGACGTCAAGTCAGTGCCAAGTTGTGAGGAACTGTGATGCCCCATTCCTATTTTTCTGTGATGTGCCTTAATTACTCAAAACGCGGTCACGGTGGTGCTTTCCCGTAGTGCTTCTCAAAGTTTTTTGAAACGCAAAAAATTGTAATTTGTAACTGTGAACATAACCTCTTTTCAGAAAGAGCAACACAAATAACCCATCTAGTACAGCTAATATGCTTCGTTGAGTCATTCGTCTATACATGACGATAGGGTGACGCTAACAGCGCTCACAGCGCACACAATGAGCAGTAGCTGAATGAACTATTTGTGCACTAGTAGCTAAGTAGTCAGAAGTTTAACATTTGGTTTTTGGTTTTTTGACATTTTATAGCTTTTTTACATAATAACCCCTGCCGATCGCGTAGTCGCTAGTCCATTGTATGCCTACCCACTTGTGCACGAGTGCCAAATATAGAGGAACGGCTCAAGGACCATGTTACTTAAGGTTGCTGGTGGGACTGTTGTCTGGCCATAACACGTTAAGACGTCAGCTGCCCGTGGTAGGGGTGGTTGAGCGCCGCGGGGTAGAAGAAGAGACCTCTGCGCACGTTCTGTGTCGCTGCGAGGCTCTTAGCTGCTACAGGCAGACTATACTGGGGTCCATCAATTTGGACTCCCAGGACGTTAAGGAGCTTGGACTCCCAGGACGTTAAGGAGCTTCCTTATGTTGGAATGCACCTTAATGCTAAATAGGAGTCTTCAGCTATAAGAGCGTCGTGACCACCTTGATAAAAATTGGCATCTTTTCCTTAAAAAAAAAGATGAGCCTAATAAAATTATTTTGGTTTTTTTAGTTTTAAATTTAAGAGAATTATCCCTTGCATAATTGTAGACTATTTCTAGATCCTTGTTCATATGACGTAGCGTTTTCATAGCTATTTGGGTATAATCAGCGTAGGTCATTATTTTACAAGTCTGAACAGTTTTGGTTAAATTCGAGGTGTATGACGTAAATAGTAGAGAACGTTGTAGTACCCCAGATTGTGAACGTGAGGTGGATAACGCTAGTTCCAAGGTTACATTTTTTCGGAATAACGTAATGCGGGTGTCAAAGATTAAACCAGGCTTGTCTTATGTTTTATCAACATTGCTCAGATTATGTGAGTATTTACATAACTCTGTCAGCCATAATAAGATTATTTCTTTGTTTTTCGCTTTTTCCCGTAATTCATACATTCACTTAATCTTAGCAGATTGCCATACTAACATTTAATCAAAAACGTGTCAGACTACTTCTTAGTAAGTGTTTTGATTATTCTCTCCCTGGAAAATCCCCAAAAATCAACGCTCCATGTAACTATGGCTGAGCGTCACCGCGACGCTTTTACCGCGGTCGTACCAGGTATTCGGCATACGCGCGAGTCGCACGTAAAATTAATCTTAATTTTAAGGAATTTTATGGACAAAGTTTTACTTTCAGAAAATGAATACAACTTGCTGCATTGAAATTTGCTAAGCGATATAAATTTTGGAAAAACATGTTATGCTGGTACCACCGCAGTGCAATGTTGGGGTCGATTTTTCACGTTCGCCGATTCTTCGGGTACAACATTCTATCGTTCTAGGATGACAAAACAGCCAATTTTCATCGGCCCGGGTATTATGCAAAAAAACAAAAAAACGTCAAAAAAACCTACAAAATCTAAATCTAGCAGACTGGGTAGTTTTTAGAGTACGAACAGTCACTTCACGTTTGCTCACTAGGATCATTGTGAGCATCCTTCTATGGAGGAATGACTCAACTACACGCATTTTTGCTTGCATATGCTTTGTAAAGCCGAGTTGTCTGCAGTTTTCAGCTCTGAGAAGGAAGTTGGTTGAATAGCAAGGTCACATCTGGATGATTATGTGTCCTGGTCTGCATGTGAATAAAATCAGTGATATTTGGTGTGTGGGGAGATCACCACTAAATATTCTGCCAATGAAGTATAGATATTAGCTGTGCCCGACGGGTTACTTATATGCTGTTTCTTTTTCGAATGCAGGTTATGCTCAAAGTTACAAATCACGATTTTTTACGTTTTTTTGCGTGTACAACGGAAATGACCACCACACCCGCGTTGTGTGTAATTGCTGTAAGCATGTGTACGACTTGGAATTCGACAGCCTACAATGAATATAATTATATCTTATGTCTCTCATTTTTGAAATTCAGCAAATTTTCATATGTAATTTCCAGAATGGATAAGAAAAAGTGGATGCGCAACTAATTTTTAGCTTTGAGTCTTAAGTAAGTGGATTTGAGACAAGAATCTAATGGAATTATCATCAACACATATTATTAGCACACAAATCCTCGCTATGCACTCAAGCATTGCCATTTCCTTCTAGCTATAGTATAGAACTTACACCTTAGATATCCAGTAATGCCAACTCTGAAGCAGATTTCTCATCACATCAGAGCCAAACATTGATAACTGAAGCCTTATGAGGTTTAGGCAACACGTACAACGACAAAACTGGTGCACAAGTCCATCAGTTAAGATCTTGTAGAGGAACCTACATAATGCCACAAAAAATCAATACAATGTCAAAGAAAATCAACATAATGTCATTTTCCAAGATACGTAATACCCGTGCGGTTCTTTACAAATGCCTAATTTTGCATACAGAGTGCAAACCTGAAAACTGCAAGTACGTTTTTCATTTGGTTGCAGGTATATGAATTCAGCTCTTAACCCGGTAATCTACACAATCTTCAACAAGGACTTCCGAAGGGCTTTCCGCAGGATACTGTTCAAGTGATGTTTAGCCTACGTGTGCTGCTACGAATGCGTCACACGTCGAATCAGAACCGCACAATTCCGAGGCGCTCCAAGTCAGTTGTACCGTCATTAATACCAACAGCGTTGCTACAGTGGCCAACATTGTGCAACGTCGGTACTTACAGGACTACCACTACGCCAGACAATCTCATGTTATGTACATTTTATTCGACAGTTTGTCTTGGATTATAAGAGAGGTATTATATATTTATTAGGTGCCATGTAACTGCTAAGCAGTACCATCAAGTGCAGCTTCAAAGTGGTTACCACGTTATTTATCGGAACCATTGAGGTCTCGGTAGAACGATGTTACCTTTGATCAGGAACGTAGCAGTAGTAGTCATGTATTTGTCACATTAAGTGTTGTAAATGGACGCTGATGTTGGGCGTTACGGTACCATCATTACCTAAAGGAGTCCAAAGTCGGCCATAGAGTCATATAATATTTATAACTCAACAGCCTTTTTAATACCGGTGTATAAATTCCTGATTTATTTGCAGCCAAAACGATATGTCAATGTTCAAAAACTGTCTTGTGTAAGTGACGCTATCTTTTTTGTGGCGTATGAAGAGGTGTATAGAGCGTTAACGTTAGGCATATGAATTCTAATTGTTTTCTAAAGTGTTAAGTGAATAACGTGTTTTATTTCTCCTCAAAATTGAATCTTATGAATTTTAAGGAAATAGATTACACATATGATACACATACAAGGTAAAGTAGAGGGGAAGAGTGTTGCGCGTGAGATACAATTTCCAAATTATTCAAGTTCTGATTGTCTGTGGCTGTTACCGATTATTGGGTTATATCGTATGATCTTATTAGATTCGGTATTATGAAATTTCAACGATTGCGTCATTTGACGCAGCACAATTTGTTTTAGGTATTACATTAACCAATTATTTCTCTGAACCGAAAAATTTATTTATAATAGATATACTATATACGAGTATATGAGGGTTGCTCAGCATATCATCTTGTCTCACACCGTGGAAGAGGTCAAGCCTTATAATTTGCTGGTTTTAATATTTCGACGCGTCAGAGAAGGATATCTAGCTGTGATAGAGTCATCTTTCGTGAGGTGTGTGATACTTTTATCTCGGCCAATTCAACCTTCCTTCTCCCTGCGTACTCGTTTCTGGCAGTATTTGACACACTTGAACAGATGAACATTGGCGACGGCTAAAATAATTGCATCTCTCACAGCCTGCGTCCTCTAGTAGCTGCTCCTGTTTACCACAATATGATTTGTTCCCCGTGTTAAAGTTGAAATTGATTTTTTTTCCAAACCAAACTGTGCACCTTTGCATGACGGATTCCACTCTAGCTTGAGAATCAACGTAGGTATCATGCCGGTCAATCGGAATTTAGCTTCGTGTCAGGTGAGAAAAAAAATAGACGAGAAAGATGTAGTGGGACCTTAACACACACCACCTTTTAGTGAGTATGTTCATGAAATGTTGAATGCGTTAAAGGGACACGTGGTATGCACATTCACTATATTTGCGAACCTAACATTTAGCTAAGATTCCGTTTTTTAGACTTAACCCCTCCCAGATTCATCTTTTTGTTACAAAACTGCTTTCTATACCGGGTGTTTCCAGCTCAACCCTGACCATTGGGATGTCGTAAAATTCAAAGTACTTCTAAATTTGCCCTGGCTTTATTTGTTGTGGTATTTCTTTTTCTCCCCTATAAGGTGATATAATTACAATTCCAATATGAGGTTTAATCTCGTGACCTCCAGCTTCAACTTTATTTTTTCTAATGGACGCCATATTTGTTCTTTGCACAGATGAATAGAGTTTTTAATGTATATATATATATATATATGAGCACTACCAAAATTTAGTTATGCAAAAAAAATGTCCTAGGTAGGCCTTGAAATTACCAGATAGTTATTTGTTTCCTATACCAGACTTATCTCCTGGTTTTATTTGAAATAGTCTTCTAAAATAAATTGCATATAATAATAATAAATTGCTTTTATTGCTCATGTAAGTACAGAAAAAGAAAAAGTACATAAATCTGATGCAGTGAGCAAACGGCACGGTTCGCATGATTGACAACTATTAGATGTCAATCCGCGCTCTTCCACCTAACCAAGTACATAAGTATATTACATCGATTTGGTGGTGAACAGTCGTAACCCACAAAATGTGAAAAATTCAGTTAATTCTATTAAACAACACTAAAAAGTATAAACTTTGATTCCTAAAAGGGTCATAACCCACAACCTTCTGAAAGTCTCCAAAACACAAGATTTGCTAAAAGAATTAAGCCAAATTTTCTTGTGGTGAATAAGTGCAAGCCGCTTAGCACTTTTGTCAAATAATTTTCGAAACAGTGAGCGTTTGTTTATTGACTTGCACTGACTTGTCTTAGTTTCTGTGTTAAACATGTTATCAAGAGGCCAAAGAATAGTGCAAAAAGCACTAGAAATGTGATTACCTTTCATACTACTAATACTATACTCCAAAACTGAAAACCTTCAACTATTAACTGCCTAAGCAAATAACTTCATGTAGCATGAGGGTGTGGGTGCTAAGGGTTCCTCAGAAATTGCAACTTGTTTTTGAAAACTTCTAAGCGGTCTCGGGAATGAAGTCCTATATGACTAACTAGTTATCATAAATTACTTCGAGTGTCTCTCATGAGGTCCTGGACGGAATTCAGATCAATTTCTCTCAGATTTTCATGAACTTACAGTCTTAATTGTTATATAATAAACCTTCCTAGACAGTTAAGTACAAAAATGCATGAAGTTTGGAGGATTATCGCTTTTGGGAACAAAAGGTACGTTGTGTTGTCGAAGAGAGTTTTGTGTATATCTTGAGTAATGGCATGATGCTAAGTCTGGCCAAGACACAATATGGTCATTAGCATGATGTGCGTGGACAAACTGAAGCAATTTGGAAAGGCAGTTATCAGTACAGCTCTGAATAGTAAGAGCTTCAACCCTCACCCTTCCCATAAAAGGTAGGGAGACACCCCTGTTAGAAATTACGCACTAGACAAGGATTTTATTTGCAAATCTCGCTGCATGTTTCTAAAACTCCCTGCTAAAGAGAACCGTGGTTATAAACGAAATATATGTACCCTCGAAGGTTGGTACATTGTAACTCCAACTGCAAAGCGTTAGAAATCGTTTTACAACGTTATCGAAATGAATTACTAAGATTTCTTAAATTTTAAAGAGTTTTCCAAGTGTGCAATTGTAAACAAAAAGAAATTTGAAGACGGCGATACCTTAAATTGGTTAAAAGCAAAATGGATTCAATATAGTAGAGACCAACCTAACTGAATATTCTTTAAGGAACGCTCAAGTGATTCCGAGTTTCATTCCATATGGTTAAAAATGAATGCATGAGAAATAGTGCAACTTCAGTAAATCAAGCCGTATCCAAACTGTACACTAACAATTTACCAATTGAAAAACGATAAATGCTTGAACTCTGTGACTCTGATGTCATAAAGTTGCCTTATCATGGATAGTATGAGGCACTAAGAACCACTGATGAAGTTCAAGATAAAGCCAATTCTGACGAAAACTGATTGTTTGGATAATTTGTTTTATGCTATTACTGATAATATATAATAAAAATATTTTTTGGAGAGTGCTGAATATTCATTACATTTATACATCGAAATAAAATATTACATCTACACACATCTTAAAATAATATCAACTATATGCAGATTCATTGTAGTGAATGGAACTAAGCCACACAACCTAATAGTTATGTAGAAATAAATATTTATTTTCCATTGATATAGTAAAGCGTAATCGTAAAATGAAACTGGCCAATAGGATTTGTTTCTTCGGTTAATTATTATTCTAGAGAAAAAAACAACGATTTTCAGGGTACATACATAAAATCGCGCTAGCTCGGAAGTTTGTCTATGTCGGTTAGAACCCTTCACGCCCAAGACGACGATTAGCCTCTACAAAATCAGCCTAAATTCTCAGTTTCTGCGTTCGATCTTCATTATCAACTTTATTTTTTCTTATCAGCTCCGTGCTAAAAGTTTGCAAAATTCGATACAATTTTTAATTCTGCACTTAGTTATGCATAGAATACATTTATTTGTCCCGATAAACTACATATATTCAATTAAAGTAACATATTATTATTAGTATTTTAGTGTACATAATTCCAGCATTGCCTCCACATGGAAAAACAACATTGGTGATGGAATGTTTGACATATTATCATGCATTTTTGGAATCAGAATTGGTAACTATACATCTGTGCAAAAATCCAATATGGCGTCCATGAGAAGAAATAAAGATGAACCATTGATGGAAGTACGTAAATGTGTGTGTAGATCAGTAAAGACAAAGTCTTGAATTTTTTACCTAATTGCGACGTAATGGCAAATCGTTGGAGAATGAAAACGCTAACAACGAAATGCACAGGATCTAAAAGAAGAAGCGTTTGCTTTTTGCAGTACTTACGTTTCTATAATATTTGAAGAATTTAAATTGCTTTACGCGTAACTCATCCTGTCCCATCGCGGGGTAGTACTTTAGAGGGTATAATCATAACCAGGCTAATGCTTCTATACTCTACGTTCTGCTAAAACAAAGAAAATACAAGTGGTAACTATCTTCGAAAATACTCGCTCATTGACTTAACAGATGCTGCAGGTATCACGATTTTCGATCATCATATCGTGTCGTTAAAGAATTTGTTTTTATAGATGCGTTGATTTTACAGAATCCTCTAAGGAAAAATTGGGAGCGGATTCAGTATCTAATAAGGAAGGCGTACATATGAACATTGGTCGATAATTGACTGTTCAAAAGATATGGGGTCTATAAACTTGTCGTGTTTAGCGGAAACTTTATTCCACTAGTTTTTTCAAAAATAGCTGTCGTTTTCTCCAAGCTTGAGGAGTGCCTGCTGGAGTTCTTCGTTATTTTCGTAATGGGTCCTTTACAAGTTGACTCCCTCTAATGGAAACTAATGTGGGCACAAACAATGATATGGTGAAGCGACCAGATACACCTTTAGCTGATTCACACTGGTAGGCATTTGGCGGATCAGCACTTCTCATATACTACGTATTAACTTGGACCACGATCGGTCTTCAGCTAGTCAGTTGAACGACTTTGAGGTCAAGTGAAACCTCACCTACGCCGCTTCAAGACAAACGACAAAATTCAGTCGTCATTTATGTTAGTTCGTCGCTGCCAAACCAAGCATTCGTAGCCCGCTGGCCAATGATATCGCGCGATTTGCGCTTCTGTTTGTTTCGACACTGTTTTCTGCCAACCCTCTGTAAAACTCTGTACGTATATATCTGATCGGTGGAAGTATTGAGGATTGTTTTGTATTGCGCTTAGAGGTCATGGAAAACATGATGATTTTCCACATATAATAGTTTAGTTAGTTTATATCTGATACCATCCTGACAGTAAGCCGAATCATGTCACGTAACGACTTAAGACTGCCTAAATGGGGTCTCCAAATTTGAGTAGCGTTTGATGGTGCTGTATAGCATGTTGGGTAACACTGTTTGGTGCTGAATATATTTTAGTTAGTACTGCTGGTCAATACTAACATTATTTAATTCGACTTGAATCAATATCAAGTCATTGCTGAATGAACGGTGCTGTTAAATCCAGTTCAGTATCAAACGGTAATTTTATACCTTCTTGTTAATATCAGTCAGTACACTTAGAAGAACTAGCATTAAACGTAATATGTACATAAATTTCAATAATGTGATGCATTATGCACTTTCTGTTTGTAATTCTGTAGCTACTCGTATGCATTTTTACTGAGAGCAAAGAACGTTAGGTTTGTAAGGTACTTTTGTGTGTCCTTCAAAATCAATTCCGAAAGTCAGACTGTGTCTGCTTTCTCAGATCTGTACATGGTCCATATCATACACTGAGATTACAGGAATGCATGGTTCTAACGTGTATAATCAACTTATTATAGTAACTGGTTACATAAGACCATTTAGCTACGTACATACATACTTATTGAACTGTTATGTTTTTCTCAGTGTACTATCTGGTACTGATAGGTATGGGTACACTTTCCGATCTTACTTGCTAGCTGCCGTCAGTACAGAAGGTTGTATTTAGTAGGTAATAGCGTCAAAACGGATACAGGTGGTGAAGAAGCATTATTATGATTTTCACAAGTGATCGCGATATACTATACTTCATAATATCAGTCACATAAAACGAGATAGGTGTTCTTCATATACATCATAATTTAGTTCTCTCCAGAATATGTGATCAATTTCTCGTATTCATATAAAAAAGCGATGTGTGGAGTTTCTATAATCAATCCTTCCAACGGATATAAAAGCTATCGAAGGACGCTGTTGGATGTATTTTCTGAGATTTGTTTTGTACACCAAATGGAAAATCATAAATTCCCAATGATGGAGTCCACAGGCAACAATTAAGTAGTTTAGATCGACAGGGACGAATTATCCGTAATATTGCTAATTTTCTATAAGTTTTGTAATCAATCAATCCATAGGCTTCATTCAAAACAAGTTAGTTACAAAGCGAAAATAAATGAGCGAATAAAGGGTAGTACCGATAGGTATAAAATACTTGTTTTGCGAAGAAAATATATCTACTGCTGTTTGATTCCGATAAAATGAACTGTTTTTAAGTAAAACAATTTTGCTTTGGCATTGTTTGATAACTCTAATGACGAACAAGCACGGATGCTGCAATGTTGGGTTGCCACGCTACAAAAAAAATAACGTTCACTTGCGTCGTTTCTTATGTTCAACACTTCTGTCCATAGGAACGGTAT